GACCCTACGTCCAGTTGCTAATCACTCAAACAGAGGATTAACGCTGTCACTATAAACAAATTGTTACAATACAAATTACAATGGAAGAGATAAAGTAAAAGATGACACCTCTCTTGAAACCCACAAGAGATGAAGAACAGCTTTCCCCAGAGACGGCACAGCACACAATCCACTAAGAACTCCACTTAGTGATTCTTATCGCTTCTAGCCCACACCAGGTTCGGAAAGCCCCTTTCCTTGCAACAAACAGTTCTCCGGCACTCACAGACACTTAACTTTTGTATGGAAAAGGTTGTTCTTCTTTTTCCGAGTGCCAAAGGAGAGTTTAAGTAGGGAAATTAGGGTTTAAGATTTGGGGAATTCGAAACTAGGGTTCTTGGTAATTGGGTTTTAGAAAATAGGGTTTGTTTGAAGTTTAAAATCAGAAACAGACTGGAATAATCGATTATTTGGAGTAATAATCGATTAAAACAGAGCCAAATACGTCGAACCCAATACTCTCGGTTTAATCGATTATTTGGTGAAATAATCGATTATCTCATACTGAAGCATATCTGAATAATCGATTATTTTGTCGTTTAATCGATTAAAGCAGTGAGTTTGTACGTAAAATGGTTTTCTCACCTGTTTTAATCGATTATTTACCTATTTAATCGATTAAAGCCGAGCTCTGAATGATAAATTTGAGCTTTTTGAAGCTTCTAAGTTACGGACTATGTACCGGCTATCTTAGATTCTATAATTACGGACTCAATCAAACTAAAACAGAGTTATTACAATACGTAAATCATCAATCTTCAATCTTCAATACTCTAAGTCTTTAAGCTCTTGGATCATCATCAAAATCAACATTCTTCATGATCATTATTTGCAACATCAAGTCCTTGAATGTTCAACAAAGTCTACATGCAAACCCTTTAAGACCTTTATGCAAACCTAAACCTAAAATATACAAAATGGTATAAAATTAAGAAAGAAAAAACTTACTCAGTTCAAAATTTTGATAGGGTAAAATTGATCTCTTCTCCTTCTTGAGCATTAAGGTGTGTTTGGATTTAGAAAAAGATAAGAGCTAGAGTAAGAGATTTAGAGAGAAAACAGATAAAAGAGAGTTATAGAGATGGTGATTTTGTAAAAATAAAGTTTGAATATTTAAACTTTTCTATTTGTAATTATTTTTAACTTAAACAATAAAATTTTAAACTTACTCTCATTATATTACTTCTACTCTTAACTAACTTACACATAATAAATAAATAGGGTTGAAAAAACATATTTGTTTAACTTGATAAGCATTGAATGGTAATGTATTAATTATTAGATTAAAAATGATAAATATACGTTATGAAGTAATTTGGAGACATTCATAATTAATGCAGTGAAAGAATGGAAGCGTTAGGAAATGAAAAAGCATAAATAGAGATGGAGATGGAGTGAGTGAGAGTGAGGAAGAGATGGGAGGAAAGAAGGCGGTGAGTTTGGTGTTGGTGAGCATAGTAGTGGCATGGACGGTGGCAAGGGGTGTGGAAGGAAATACATGGTGTGTGGCAAGCAGTAGTGCTTCCTATGGGGCACTCAAATCAGGGCTGGACTTTGCATGTTCACATGGAGCTGACTGTGGGCCCATCAGGCCCGGTGGGTCATGCTTCAACCCAAACACCATCCAAAATCATGCTTCCTATGCTTTCGATAGTTACTATCAGAGAAAAGGCAAAGCCCCCGGCTCCTGTTCTTTTGGTGGCGCTGCCACCATCGCCGTCACCGATCCCAGTCAATCTGCATTTCCTCCCCTCTTATCTTCTAATTATCATTATCATTATCATTAATTAATCCTTTCTTCTCTCTTAATCTCTCTATCTAGGTTTTGGATCCTGTAGGTACCCTTCTTCTCTCTGAGGTATTTTTTTTTCGTTCACTCCCTCATTTTACTCTTTTTCAATTATCACCATTGATTTCCCTCATTTTCTTCCTCTTATTCATTTTCAGCACCCAGCAGCGAACACTACAAAACCATACCAACAAAATACCTACCAAACATTTGTACAATGTTTCAAATAAATTTATGAATATTTTATTTACTTTTCTATTTCAATTATGAAACCAATTTAGTTATTCTTTTTATTAAATTTCTTAACGAAATTACCGTTAAACATTAATTATCATCCGTTAAAAAATAAATAAAGAAGAACTTATGCGGATATCATACCAAAAGTGAGTAATTCATTAAGTTTAGCTATTAAAGAGCATTTGTGGAAGCAATGCTATAACGAACAAAATAAGAACATGTTAACTTATATTTTGAGAAAATATTATTTTAATATAAAATAAATAAGTAAAAGTAAAACATATTATTAAATTTATTTACATATAAATGTAATATAATATATACATTAAAATAAGGAGCAGTTACTTTACTAATGCCATAAAGGATATTTTAAAATTAAATTAATTTCTTTAGTTTATTTAATTTACATATATATATATATATATATATATATATATACATAATTTTCATAAATTTTATTTTATTTTAGTGAATATGTTATTTTAAAATAAAATGAATATCAACTCATTAAAACATAAACACATGAATGCATTTATTAAAATATAATAAAAAATAATATTTATTTAAAAATTAAAAGGGTCAATATCATTTTACTAAAGATATAAAGTACATATATATTTAATTTAAAACTAAAAGGAATATGAATACGATTTAACGTATTTTCATGGATAAGGGAAATAATAATAATAACCACGTTATTGGTTTATACATATTTTATTTTATTTATGGCCAGGGATCCACAAACTAAAAGGAATATAAAATAAATATAGAGAAAATAAATCATAAGATGGAAGAAAAAAAATAAAAGAAGAAGAAGAAGAAGAAGTTGTGCACACAGTGTACCAAATGATAAGGGATCAACAAACTTTTGAGATCACTCCATACCTCCATTAACATTATTAAGTTTAACTTGTTAAATATTATAAGGTTAATAATGTAAATTAGTAATTCATATTTATTATTAATTTCAAAATAGGACCGAGTTCTGTTACAAACTGACACAAAAAAACTAGTAAATTTTCATAAAACAAATGTTTTCATGAATTTAGGGTTTAAAAAATTAATTGAATTTAATTTAATGTAATTTAATTTAATAATATAATAATTGTATTAATAATAATTTAAAATATATATAATAATAATGAAATTTTTTAATATAATTATTATAATTTAAAATATATTATTATTATTATTTAACATTAATATGACTCGTGTAAAATAAAGAAACAAAAAATTTAAAAATAATTATATCCTTAATAAATTTGTTCTTATAAAAAAACAAAAGTTAATCTTAATTTATATTAATTTAATAAAATTCAATTTTTTTGGAAATAAGAAATTGATATTCGGAGTTATTTCATACTGGTTCGGTTGAATCATCGGTTCCATTTGCTAATAAAAAGGATGCATTGAACCGGTAATTTCAAAGAAATTAAAGTTAATTTACAAAAAATAAAAATGTATATTTATAAATATTTACAAAATTGATTTGAATTATTTACCATAGAACATAAAATTTCGTCATTTATATCAATTTATTTTTCGTCATTTAATTTTATACTATAATTATTTATCTATTTTTTTGTTTTTTTTTGTCAATTACTAATTTGCATTATTGTTGTTGTATTTAAGAATAAATGACTATGATATTGTATTTTATTTGATAAATTTTATATATTATTTAATTATTATTATTATTTTTTTTTATTTAATACTGTTAAATTTAAACTTTGAACCAGTAACTGAACTGCTTTTAAAAGTATTGTTTATGGAAAATAGAAAAATGCTGAAAAGTGGAAATAAAATATTTTCTTTTGTCAAAATTACTTGTTATACCATGTTGGCTAATCTATATATATATATATATATATATATATATATATATATATATATATATATATATATATATATATATATATATATATATATATATATGTCGAAGTTAATGGTATAAAATCTACAACCATATTTTCTCAGAACAAAAAGAACACCACCATATCCAACTTTATATTCTATTTACTACAGTTAAATTACTTAGAGAATATCAGTTAAAAATAGCTCATTAAATTGTTTGACAAAACAGTTAATTATTTGAAACAATTTTCCATAAGAAAATTTTTGGATGATATAATAAGTTATTCAAAAAAATTGTAAATTAATCGAATGAACAACTTAAAAAAGTCAACTATTTGAAATTTCTTAAAATTTATTTTTATTGAAATAAAATTAAATATTACGATTAAATATAAGTGAACCTAATGACTGACACGATTAACCACATGAGTATAAGATAGTAGAATGTTCAATGTCAAAATTATAAGAATTTCCAAAAGTTTAGATTCTCTTTTAACACTGATGCCGCTAGCGAATTAGATTACTGGACAACCTTCGAAAACTTGCATTTCAAGAGTTTCAAGACTTCATTTGTCGGCAAAGAAAAACGAAACAGTTATCGTCAAAACTTATCTTTAGTTTTCAAATCATAGTAAATTTCGAAAGTACGATCTAAAAGCTCATGCCTTTATCTGGTGTTTCATTTTAGTCAAGTGGTCTTAAACCAGCATTTCCATGCAGAAAGCGAACAGAGAAAAAAAGATGAAAGAATGCAATAAATGGATACAACTTTATGGTCATGAAACATGATGAGCTATTGCTCTCTAAAGTAATCATGCCCAATTCAACATAATGAAGGGTTATGCACTGACACCTGGTTTACTTAACAGTGAAATACGCATTGATTGTTTCACAAGTCAATAGAGAGGACATAAAGGATTACTACAGGAACTTGAATGTGTCACAGCCAACTAAACAAAATAAATATCGAAATTAGGCGAATAGTCACAACATTTTGGTCTCCACATTAGTACAACAGTGAACATTCTCTTCTGCTACCTTATGCCAGCATCACTACTAGCATACATCATGATTTTCCAAGTCAATATTGCAGCACACCCTGCAGACAATAAGCATTTAACCGAGTCAAAAGAAAGAAACAAATAATCAAATAAGGTGTAGAAGCACTATCACCATTACTTTCAATCAACAAATTGTTTAAGATGTGAGTCATCATGTATATATACCACAAGACAGAAAAAAGCAACTCCTAAACCCATCAAGCATACACTCGTCTGTGTAGGGCTTCAAATGGCCAGAACTGGTTTTAACAATGAAATTATATAAACTCAATTCTGAATAGTGTAACTCCTACCGGGATTACATCATTCACTCTTTTTGTTAACTATTCATCACTATCTTGCAGCAAAGAAATGCAATTTCATAACAATTTCATGCTTCTAATAGCATGTAAGAGAAAATCCGACAAGATCAAAGAAATAAAATCTTGTCTATACATTTTCAAGCTAGTGAAACTGCAGATTTTATTCAAGAGAATTGCACTAGAATACCCTATCGAACACCATGTCTCTTGGAGAATAAAGATTGCTTACTTTGGTGCAATAACTTCCCACTGTCTTGCTCCTAAGTGTAAGCCCTGGATGGAAATCATCTTCGACATGTCTTGCAAAGGAAGGTCCAGAGCATGTGACTGGAGATGGGTTAGCAGCAGCTACTTCTTTATTAGAAACGGGAGCACCCTCAGTTAATGAAAAGCCAAAGACTCTGCATCCACTTTTACATGAGGGAACCAACTCTTGACTGGCCCTAAGTGCTGAAATGGAATCATGTGAACGTGAACTTTCTAACTGATTATGCAAGTTTGAGACACCGAAAGAATGTGTGCCTTCTTGAGCTAGTCCACGAAGAGGCTCATATGGGGTTGATACAAATTTCCCGCCTTTAAATTCGGAAGTGTGTGAACGTTGCTGATGGAGTTTACCTTCCATCACCTGACTAATTTTGTTATAATCAGAGTTTGAAACTGGATTGACTGCTTGCTGGAACATTAACACAGATGATGGAGATGAAACTTGCCCTGATGGAACAGGAGGATGCAAATGTGAAGAATTGTTACTCATGTGGGAAGACCATCCATTTCTGGATCTCAGTGCATGGTAACCATCAAAAGGTCCAAAGCGATCATTTCCACAAGCCTCATCTACAGACAGGGCCCTTCCATATGGTTGGCTTGGAAGTATTTCTTGACCTTGCAAGACCTTCTGGAATCTGAAAGATTCACTAAAGCCTATGCCATTGCAGGAAACATTGGAACTCACTTGCGGAATTCCAATGTTATTTCCTGTTGCAGCAATCCTAGGACAGTTCGAGCCAGAATAGCATCTCCTCAAATCAGATAGCTGGTGACTCTGACCACTAATACTATCAAAAGAAGTATTAACACCCAACATTTCTTGACCTTGCAAGACCTTCTGGAACCTTAGAGATTCCCCAAAGTCTGATGCTCCAATTGCATCTGCCAAAAGAATGGAACAACTCAACTACAAAGCTGCATTCAGAAGGACGCCTGAAAGTAAATAAAAAATTAAGACATACTGGAAACTGGAAATTCTAGCTTGGTTGAAGGCAATCCAATCTTGGTCCTCTTCAAACCAGCTGATATCAAGGTATTTGAAGTAGATGCAGAACCAGATGGTTCAATCTCCCATGGTGAAACCCTATTATGCCTAGTGGCTTCCAAGTCATCCCACCTAACCTGCAAATATATGAAAATCACAAGTTAATCTAAAAATAACATCATATAATAAGTCATAATTATGAGGTTAACAGCTTGATAAGATTTCCAGATATCTCCAACACAACTGTAGTTTTCAACCTTTTTAAGTTTAAACTAAACACCAAAAAATACTCATGGTTCATAATACTTGAGAATTTTGTAAATAATTTAGCTAAATGTACCAGAAGGATGATAACCATTGATCCATAATGTAATTTTCCAATTTAATAAAAAAACCATAAAATAAAGAAATAAATTTACTATCAGCATGTAAAGCTATTCTAGATTGCATACTCAGCTTCAAACATGTGAGGTGACAGGAAAATGAACCACTATATTCAATACTTAAAAAAATATACCAAGAAAAACCCAAGTCAAAGAAACAATTTTAACGATAAACATGAGCTATCACTAGAATGCCCATGATGGATTTCTTTTCCTGAATATCTCTTACCACTCAGCTTATTGGTATTCAAACCTCCCTATCTTTCAAAATGCTAAGGTAACTACAAAATTATTAGAACTTTACACTTGCTTCAACTTGCATATCAATCAATTAATCTCTACCATCAAGTATAGATCCTCTCAGCCAGAAATGATATGATGTGATATATGAAGTAGTTTAAAACTCCAATTTTTCTGAGTAACTTAGTACAATATTTAGCTAGTGCCCGGAAAGGCTACCCATGTAAGTTTCTACAACTATCAGATTAAGTGAATTCATTTCAATCACTGAATTATGTAACTATAAAATTGAACAAAAAAGCCAGTAGTTTTGAGAGTATATGACCCTTCAATGTAAAATTAGATGTTAGACCATAAAGGTTTATGCATATCACAAACTTGATTTCACCAAAAAACCATCTGGCACAATTTGTTAAAATAAATGAGTAGCAGGAATAAATGCCATAAACCAGGTAGGTAGCTATAACAAAGAAGAACCACTATATTAAAAAACAGCAAAGATAAAAAGGGCAAGGTCTATTGACACACTTCAGGCATGTTAGCAGAAGTTAGAAAGAACCAGCAATATACCATTAGGCATCTCCATTTTGATCCAGGCCATCTAACAGGATCCACATCAGCAATTCCAACAATCAATCCTGTAAATCTGCCACAATATAAAATTGAGTAAGATTCCCTATTATTAAGATTGTCACAATGGAACAAGCATAAGCATGAATAAACCTTCGCTCTGCAGCATCTTCAGTTTCAAAACGCATCCTGAATCTTGTTCCAACTGAATAAGAATAATCAAGGCTCTTCAAGAATTTCTTGATAGGTATGATGAACTCAGATGAGCTGACCCTGCAAGGACACAGTGAAATATAGAAGCCACTGATTAGATATCCATGCTTGACAAGAAAGAAAATCAAAGAAAATCCAGGTACTTTAAAAAAAAAAAAAAAAAAAATCCATGGAGACTCAAGACCAAGGTGGTACATACAAGTAAAATCATGAATTGAAGAAAATCATTTAAACATTCGCAAGTTGCACAAGCATAATAGAACTCCATAGTCTAATTACTTGAAAGTTGTTTCAATCTGTTTGTTTGAGAAGTGACTTGACTACCGGTGCACTCAGGCAGAATTCAGTGGACTGCAGTGCTGAGTATACCAATAAACACGACTTCAAAATGGAAGAAAAGAAGGAACCATATGTTGTTAAGTTATTCACATTATAATGTATTTAAGAATTTAAAAGTGGAAACTATTCACCAAGGGAAAAATATCTGTCTGCTATTGGTTAAAAAAATATGATGAACGAATTGAAACCTCTAGCAAAAAAACAAACAAAATTTATAGTCACACAGGAAAACTTGAGGTTGAATTCCTAGAACGCAAACACAGTGATAGTATAAGGCATTTGCTTGACTTTGCAGTGCCTGTCTTAGTACAACACGTGCTATGAAGTATGGGGAGCCAACTGAAATAGCCCAACAGCTTGTGGGAAGTAACAAAGAGTTTGACACGATTTAATTTTCTGCTATCAAACCAAATCTCATGTTATGCATAAAGCTAGAATTTTAGGCTAAATAATAGTGGGGTACATGCAGATTTAGTAATTGTTTTGTTTCATATATATATAGCTAAACTATAAACATCCTTTTGAATAGCTTAAGGTGCATCACATCTCGTTTTATTACAAAAGTAACAATGAATTATAGATAGAAACCGACAGTTTCCCTTCCATTAATTACTGAGCAAAGTATAATAGAACAACTAGAAAAAATACCTTGGATTATAGTGAATGCTAAAGGCACATCTTGCTGATAAAGCATTAACCACATCCATCAGACTGCTAAGATTCAATTGCTGGCCAGCAAGAGTTGAAATGGTACTGCCACTTTTCAATTGAGCGGCCCTACGAATTCCCAATCTTAGTTCTCCATCCTCACCCCTGCCATTTAAGTATAAAATGTTGGTTCTCTCCCTGATATGTTTACTAGCTAATATTTGATAGAATCGAGGTCTTCATACCTAAGAAACAATACAGCATCTCCAGATACAAGTTTCTTCTTGTTCACAAATGCACTCCACCCAGTGGTAAGCAAGTGTCGTCGTGGTTGCCCTGGTCATGAGAATCACGTAATACAAACCCAAACAATGATGAATTTATTCTAATCGGTTCGTCCATTAACTTACAAACATAGCACATACCCCTGTAAATATGTCGAAACCTCCATTCTTGGCCATGCAGATCCTTCGCCACAAGCTCCTGTGAAGGTCTCTGTTGACTGTAATCCTAAAGTAACAACAGATTTAAATTCAAACGCTATGAAAGAGTTATACAGTATAACCCAATGCCACTAGTTATGATTAAAGATGACTTTCAAATTGGACAAGGGTGTGTGTGTGTGTAAATTCAGAACATTTATGAGGCAAGGGCTAACTTTAGCTATATCTCATAAAAAATTAAATGATGAAAAGGTTACTCAACAGGCTCAATATATCAAGAGAGAAAAGGAATGCATCATCATTCATAATTGTTACCAGGGGTGGAAAGCAATCTTCCGCAGCACGACGAGGCACAGAGAATCCACCATGAGTGCTAGTATCAGAAGCGGTCAAAGTCTTGCAGAACATGTGGGGTGTTGTAGACTTCATCACAGCTTCAGCATCCTCTTCACCATCAGCATCAATTTCTCCTTCCCGCAACTTATGATGCACTTGCTACAAACAACGACAAAATAATCACTTCACAAAGTCACTAAATTCAACATCATTATACCCCTGTTCTTTCTTTTCGCTTCTACGGAACCAGAGTAATATTTTCTAGTTCCCTTTCTCTCAAGTATAACATTGACAGAGACAGAAAACAAAGCCTAGAGCTACATTAAGCAAATACCAATAATCTCAAGTAATCAAATTTCACTAATTAGCCCTTAATACTTAGGTCCTAAAGCGAAGATTCTGAGTTGAAATTTGTTTCCTTTTGCAGCACACTCTCCAAAGCGGAACCTTAAAAAGAAGCCTCACCTCACTTTCGGGAACCAACACCACCTGACAATATACTTCATCGCTCCCTTCCTCAGCCTGCGAAAACAATAAACACAAACACATTCAATGTAAAGCAGCAAACATGGAAAAGGAAGAAAACCTGATAGCATTTGGATTTGTACGATGTGTATAGAACGGAAGGAAGAAAGACCCACATGGAGCTTGACATCGAGAACGCGACAGAAGAGATGGGAGGGGATGTTAGCAGAAGCAGGGAGCGGAAAATCGTGAAGGTGTTGTTCCAAGTGTCCTTGTGGGAAGTACACGACAAGGGTCCCTTTCTTGGGCAAGGAGATCATAGGACCCGCACAAGCGTGCCAGAGTTCGAGGCAGACGGAGGAGGGGTGAGACGACGGCGCTTCATGGTCCTCTGTGGCGCTGTTGAGATCGATGAGGGCAGGCATGGGGAGGAGGAAAGAGGGAGAAAATGAGAGAAGGTGCAGCGGAGACAGAGGAAGAAGAAGAAGAAGCACAGGAGCAAGTGAGTTGGGGGAGATATTTGAAGGAGTGGTTTCATGCCTCCTGCATTTTCAGAGAGCGTGACCAACTTTGGCATTGCCAAAAGAACCTGACCCAATACTCCAAAAAGAAAGAGACCCTCTTTCTCTGTCTCTGTCTTTCTCTCCCACTGACCTATCACTCTCTCTTCATTTTTCCCACCCTTTTTGGGCTCTTCACTACACACTCAATTATGGGGTTAGCTTTTTTGGAAACCCTTTCATTCCCACTTTCTCTTACCAACTCACTCTACCATTATCCTTGACATTTAACTATCTCTAGGAACTAAACACTCCAAAATTCAATTTGCTTCATTACAGAAAAACAAACAGCAAGGAATTAAAGCTAGAATTTTATCATGGGATTGTCACATTGAACATCAAAATAACAGCCACTGTTAAAAAAAAAAGTAATATTTTTCTTTTTCTCTTTAAAAAGTATTACGAAGGATTCAATGTTTACACTTGTTTGTACAAAAGTATTTACTAAACGAGATGGGTCACATAATAGATATCGTTATCTAATAAAAGGATTGATCTTTGGGTCACTTCAGAAAGATACTTTGGTTGAGGTAAGAAAAGCTTGAACTTTTTATGGTATTAATTAATTGTTATTATTGGTATGATATTATTTTTTTGCCCTTTTGCTTGTCTGCAGGCTGGGGCGGGAGCAGTGGTGCAGTTGCTGCAATGCTGAGACTGTTGGGTGTGATGTGTGGCAGAGTGTGAGAGAGAAAGAAAGTGAGTGAGGAGAGAGAAGAAAAGTAAGCAACAACAACAAAGACTGTACTGTAGTAGGAGTGACTCACTTTTGTTTGTGAAGGTTATTTTGCTGTCTTGGACTGTACGGTCTCCCTGTATTTCCGGGCGGATGTCTATTCTGTCCCCTTCTATTTCACCAAATCTCACACCTATCCTTTTGCTTATTAATAATAACAATAATCCACTTCAAATAGCTTTTTATTATCTTTGAAAATTGAAGTTAAGGTTATCCTTTCCTCACTTGCATATTAGATCTCATTTTCTAATTCTGTGTCGGTTCTGTGATGATTTTGTTTGTTGACCGTGCCATTAATTGAATGTTCTATGTAGAATGTAGATGTTAGATTCTCCCACCACTTCAGTGAGCTGTTTCTAGTACGGAGTTTGGTGGCCTATACAATAGTTAGTATTGCACTATTTTCAGCATTATGATGTATGCCTTTTAACCTCTACCACTTAACTATATTCTCATTATAACATTATATTATTGTTTGGTTTGAAATTTTATACAAAGAACTTTGGAGCCAAAATGGGTCCATTATATAAAGCTAATGTGAAATGTCAGAACTTCAGGTGTCATTAGTGTAGAAAATTATGCTTGCACCATAGTGGTTTTAATCCAAATCACCTAGAAGCTGAATCATGGGCGACACAGCTTAGAACCTATTACCACTCATATTGGGCAGGCAATGGGGGTTAATGTTGACAATTAACCAAAAAACTGAGACAAGTGCAAGAGAGATGAGGTGTGAGATAGAAAGTTGCATGCTGTTTTTAAGCATTCCTTTTTTCTTATTGCAAATGCCCAATTACTTTGGCTACCCAAAGTTTTGACTTTATGGTTAGGGTCCTGTCATAATTATTAGCTGTCTTCTTAGACAAAAAGTAATGAATAATCTGGGTCACCGTGCCTAACTAACTAGGGAACTGATAAATTAACTAATTAATATCATATATATATATATATATATATATATATATATATATATATATATATATATATATATATATATATATATATATAATATGAGTGAAAGTGAGAAGATAATGAAGATGAATGAATTAGTGTGGAAAGTAGCAAGCTTAGACATGGTGATTCGTTATGATTTGAGATAAAATATGTGAGTCATAGATTGTTTTCTTTGTTGGTAACCTGCTAAAGCTGAGGAAAGGTGGCATGGAAGGAGAGTAACACATTCACCAACGTTGGAAGAGCTGTCATAGGAGTTGACTGTGGTTGTCTTCCATAGGTTTGAACCTAAACTTGGTTGTATGGATGGGATGAAAATGTTGGATAGAGTAGGGTGAAAGATATTTTCTTCTGTGTTTTGGTTACTCATCCCTAACTTGACTATCAGTAGTAAGTTATTTTTAATGAAAATTTTATGTAACTATCTCTTGATTTTCATATTCATACATTCATTATTTATTATATGTTTAAACAACATTAATTATGCATTATCCTTAATTAGGATGTTTAAGGTTGATTCAACTTTTTAATAAATAATTATTCAAAATAAATATAAAAATAAAAATAGTAAACGTGATTTAATTTTAATTTAATATAAGATCTTAATCAAATAAAATTAATACGTACAATTCAGTCTTTATCTGTTTGTGAATTTTATTTCTAAAAATATGTTAAATAAATTTTATAAAAAAATTATAAATATTTTTAAAAAACTAAAACAATTATAATAATTTTTATAAGTAAAGAGATATATTATGAATTTTTATATAATTAATATTTATTTATAAACAAGTTATTAATCTTATAATTAAATATTGCAATCTAAAGCTATAATATATGGTAAATAAAATATTATTAACTATTATATTTATTAATTGATAAATAAATATATAATATTATATTTAAATAAATAAATAATTTCACAGATTTGAATTTTATTTTTAATTTTTAATTTCAACGATGAAGAATTTTCTTGAAAGTTGAGGGGGTCGTGACTCCCAAAATCCCCAAAATTTTATAATGTAATTTATAATTTTGGTCCACGATAAAGAAAACCACCTATGACTACTATCTTTTATCAAATAGTAAAAATATATGGTACATATTTTATCACGTATTGAAGGAGATTATAAATGTATTCCAATGTTTTTTTTTAATTAAAAGTATAAAAAAAATATAATATATGAACGAGTTTGTACACTTTCTATTCTTTTATATTATTTCTTATAATAATTTAAATTGTTTATTTTTATATTATATTTTTATTTCACTTAAATAATTTTTTTTTAGTTTCTCACTTTATGTGAGTTTCACTCGCTACGTATATGCCTTTCAACGTCGGTTATATAAGGATTTCAACGTCGGTTATACAACCGACGTTGTATCAGGCGACGTTGAAAAGTGTATATTCGTCGCTCAAGCAAGTACAATCGTCGCTCAAGCGAAATGGAACCCGAGAGTCCCCTTTGTTTGAAGCTATCGTCGCTTAAGCGAGTACACTCGTCGCTCAAGCGAGATGGAACCCGAGAGACCCCATTGTTTGAAGCTTTCGTCGCTTAAGCGAGTACACTCGTCGCTCAAGCGAGATGGAACCCGAGAGTCCCCTTTGTTTGAAGCTTTCGTCGCTTAAGCGAGTACACTCGTCACTCAAGCAAGATGGAACCCGAGAGTCCCCTTTGTTTGAAGTTGTCGTCGCTCAAGCGAGTACAGTCGTCGCTCAAGCGAGTACGTGTTTACTACGTCGGTTATGGTATGAACCGACGTAGAAAGTCTATTTTTTTTTTTTAAATGGCCGCTTTGTTTATACAGGGTACCCAATGTTTGTATATATACATACCTGCAAATTTGAATACAACCCAGGCAGACAATGTACAAGATATAAACAATTGAATGTGCATCCAAAAATAAAATTGTATCCAAAATTATAGTGTATCCAACTACTTATCTACCAAATACACTAACTACTAATCTAACTAATAAACTAACTAGTAAACTAACTACTAAACTAACTACTAAATTAATAACTAAACTTGCCTACTTCTAACTTTAACAAACTTATCGGCCCATGTGTTTCTAATATCGTCAATGGTCTCTATGGGCAATGCTTCCCTGTCTCGAAAATACCTGTTACAAGAAAAAGATAATTTAACAGAGTATCCAATGACACAATACCGGGTCTTTTATTGAATACTAAATTTAAGCAAACCTGATTCCATGTATCCTCAATCTTCCTAACAACAATCGCCCACATCCAGATGCATAACATAATATCCGCACTCATAAGATCCTGGTTGCCTATTACACTACAAAAAATAATATATTAATTTGACATATAAAATGAATGATATAATACATAAATATAAAATGACTTACATTAACAAAAATCCAATCTGAGTCGTGCTTTTGCTTGTGTGTACTCCATCAATTGTATTGCAAACCTTAAATGCACCTGTGCAATACAAGATATAATGAAACAATTAAGTAACAAAACAATTAATAATTGTTTAAATTATTATAAGAATGTGTACCTGTTTACAATTTTTTTAAGATCTCGCATCAGGTTTCTTGCCCAAGTGAGCGTAACCAAGCCACAACATTCCGCTTTGGGCAAACAACCAACAACTGCCAATGATTTCGCTTACATTACAAAAAGTTAGGATAATACAATACACTATAAAATTTAATGCGAATAATTTCATACGCTTAAATACTTACCGATGGTGGTAAGCACCCAAGTAAACTTTCTTCCTTGACTTCATCATCCAATTTTGGATGTATATTTGAACTTCTTCTCTCTTGTTTCCTTATTTTTGTATGGATTGGGGCTCAAAAAATCCATACACATCTTGGGTGCGTTGTTCCTCCGACAATTCATTCATCATCCTAAAGTAGCCAGTTCAATGTACATTAAATATGACGATAACTTCAAATAACATAATTAGTAAATAAAAATAAATACTTACATTGTCCAAAATTGTAACACTCGCTATGTTTAGACACCGATTGCCAACTCGCTATCTCCACAAGCATCGGTGTGGTCAATGTAAAGGGGAAAGTTCTTATTGTCTACCCCTAACTTATCAACATCCCACTTCACTTGAAAAGATTGAATATACAACTCGTGGGACAACAGATAGTAGTTGAAAAATTGGATTTTCTCGGGACATCTACTTCCTTACCTTTACTAGTATGGGAAGTAAGAACCAGCTTAGGCAACCTGGGTGGCTTCGAACATCCTACATAAAATAACATTGACTTGAGAAATAATAAAAAATAGTACCAGACTACATATGATAATTAACGAAAGTATATGCAAACCTTTTTCAAAATAGGCCTGATTAGATGTCTAGGCCATGCAATGAAGGTCCGGAGGGCCTGTCCCACTCGTCATCACCTCGTCTCGTGGGCACAGGTACAAGAGCATAAGCATCTCGAACCTCTTCAATGACCACTTTGGCCAAGTTAGGTGCTAAAGGCACACTATGAATTGTAGAGGCCCCTCTTCAATTGAACCAACCGCCACCAATCGTGGTTCGGATCCATCCTCATCAACATAAAATTCACACCGACTCGATTACACAAAAATAAGACATTAATTATTTAATATGCACATAAATTTTTGTCATTAAGATATCATCCACACATACCCGAGTGGTCGATGTCCGCAACAACAACAACAACCTCCCGATTAGTAGCAGAAGCTCTTGATCAGCAGTATTTGGCTCAAGCACAACTACCCTTAGTGCTAACTCGTGCGGCAGATGGAGGAGGAACATCCATGGGTGGGTGGGTAGGCTGTGTGACACCTATGGATGCTAGACTTGAACCAAATACACGCATCATCTCCTCCCGAACTCGTGCGGTAATGGCTGGTGTCGGCGTCGTCGTCGCCTCTTCAACCATCGGCTGGTCTCGCCTTCGCCGTTAGACTCTCCTCCAATCCGGCCATCTCCTGCCGGCTCAATGATGTGGTGTGGGTATGGTCCGATGATGGAGC